TGTAAGCGAGATAAAGATCCACGTCTGGGGGAAGTAGAGTTGTAGCATCTTGTATCTCTTTAGATGGGAGGAGAAAGCGTTTTTTATTTAGTCAAAATGATGGGTGGGTTTAGAAGCTTCTCTTAGTAGCACCAAGACCCCAAACGATGAAGGTTCCAGACCAAGAGCCCAGTGCTGAGTTGCCTCCCCCACCCCCCCACCCCCCACAGGCTGTGCTCAGGAGCATGGAGGAATACGGTTCACTCCAGAGCCATTGCAGCCAGAGAGAGCACGTGTGCATGCACACGCGCACACTTCCTCCATCTATTCTTTGGATTAGTCTTGTTCACAGTCGCCCTCTCTGTCCCACCCCTAGACGTGTGAAGACCTCTTTGCAGGCCTCACTCCAGCCCGGGATGCCTAGGAAATCTTGCTCTGCCCCCAGGTAGATGTCTAGTTATCAGGCCTACCTGGGAGCCCACGCCCAGAGTTCCTACTCCAGCCCTAGTTGGACTCCCAGAAGCCCTCCCAGCCCTGGCTCTGATGTGGCCCCCAGCCAGCATCTGCCACAGTACAGCAATGTGTTGCGTAATGTCCGCTTGGGCAGTGTCCAGTCCAGGGTACATCTATGGGATGGGGAGGCATCACTTGCTTGGAAGGACCCCAGGAGGAGTGGCTGCACCCCTTGCTCACCCCTCAGAGAATGCTTGCAGAGAGATGCTGGCCTGCGGCTCCTCCACTCCGCCCACGGGGGCTTCCATTTCCAGCTTGGCTCAGCAGGTTTGCTTGGTGCTTCCAGAGGGGGCTTTTCCACATACTCTTTGAAGCCCCTCAGACATACCACACACTGTAAGATACAGGGTCTGCATCACATCCTTATCTTGGGTAATAAGCACCCACGGGCCATTTCTGCCTTCCCCAGCAAGTCCTTTGTTTTGTAGATGTTTGTGTAGTCCCTCATTTGTCTTCTCTCAGTGGTAACAAGGGCTGAGTGAGTTAATGCACATAGGCTTCCGAGCTTACAGATGTGGGTTTTATGACTGGTTTCAACACCAGGTAACCCTAAGCTCTTTATGCCTTCCTTTTTATTGGGTAGATGGACTTAGCTCTCAATTGGCTAGTTTTGCCAGCCTGTCAATTGCCCCTGAAGCACTTTGCTCTCCCTGGAAGTGGGTGCTAAGTAAACCGAAGGCCCTCTTGCTAGTATGTCTACCCAGCAACCCTGGATTCCTGGGCCGTTTAACCCTGTGCATACTCAGAGCAGGGCACACGGATCATCCGGGTACAACTGCTGGCTGGACTTTGCTTTCGCCCCTGCACACTGGAGAAGCCAGGGACTTGCTAGCCGCAGGAATGAAGGCCGGTGACTCACGAGAACTGTGCACACAGTGTTGTTTCTCATTTCCCTGCAGGGCTGCTATTGTTCTCCCATGTGTGGATCACACGGATTCTCAGCAGACACCCTTGTTCTTCCCCGCCTTTTGAAACCACCCCAAAGGCAACCTTGGGACTCTCGTCTGCCATTGGGTCAGTGTGAACTCAGCCCAGCTCCTCGGATCCCTCGCTTCCTCTGGTCTGTCTGGAGTCCCGGGTGAGCTTTGTTGTGGGAGAGGAAGGCAGAGAGCCCACGACTTGCCCAGACAGTCTGAGGCCTGGCCCTGGAGCTCGCTGCTCCCTAGACACTCCAGAGTTGGACTTGGCCAGCCATGCCTCTGTTGTTACTTTTCAGAGGTAATAAGTGAGATTAATTGCAGGCCATTCTCCAGAAGAGAAGGTAGTCAGGGCCAAGCGCAGTCACATGTTGGGAAGGCTGAGGTGTGCCTCCCAGAAAGGCCGACTTAGAATTGTACAGCAGAGCCTTCCAAGATGCAGGTACCACGCGGTCCTGGCTGCCTCTGTCTGGAAGCGCTCATTTTCAGGTTCTCGATGTTGAGACAAGGAGTCCTGGGGGCGTAGTGAGTACGAGTTGGGTTGCTAAGTGTAAGGTCAGCAGTTCAATCCCACGAGCTGCTCCTTGAAGAGTTCCTGTCTCAGAGCCCACAGAGGCAGTTCTGCTCTGTCCTACGGGATCGTTGTGTGTGAGGATCGACGCCGGCAGGGAGCGTGTGTGAGATGTTGACAGCGGAGTGCCCATGCTGGTCCTTCACCAGTGAGCCGGGTTCAATCTTCCACCTCCTTTCCCTCAGGCACCTGGGGACCATCGGGAGCACAGAGCTGTCATCCCGAGTCATCTTCCGAGTGCTGTCCGCCTCCTGTGGATTGGGGGCCATGCAAGGGAGAAGGGTTTTCTAGGCAAGGGGCATTGTGGGGGCTCTCCATGCAGTTTTCTTGCACTGAGACCTGGAAGGGTTACTCTCGAGTCTTGGCTGCTGCTTGGAGTGGTTTGGGAAGGACAGGCCTCAGACAGCTTGGCAGGAGCTGGCGGCCCCGTTTTTTTTCCAGCTCAGCCCTTCCTCATGGAGTGAGCTGTCAGGGAATCCCATGGACGTCTGGCTGCTCCCCCTCTGTCTGTTTTTCCAGCATTTGTCATTGGATTATTTTTATCCCTCTCTGGTTCTTTCACTCACGCAACCTGGGGATTTGTCTGTTCCTCGACATTCCAGGTGGGGGAGGCGAAGGAAGAACACAGCCAACGTTGGTGCCGCCCCTGGTGAGGGGGCAGGGGCTCTAGGGAGCACCCGCCTGCCACAACTGTCACTGCACGAGGAGGCAGCGAGTCCAAGGAGGCAGGACCCTGTTTGCTGTCCCCTGCCCTTCTGTTCCCGGAGCCTTGGTGGCACACGGGGGTCCATGGTGGGCTGCTGGTCACACGGTTGGCAGTT